GCTCTGAGATTCTGACTCTGTACTGCTTAAGCATCTGAGCTTCTTGTCAGAGCTGATATAATGTCTTCTTATAGAGTAGATAATACTTACAGAGAGATAGAAGTCATTGTTACAGATATAATAGAAATAATAGAAGTGAGAGAAGAGATAAGTGTATAAAATTCTCTTCTTCTTCAGCTGCTTAGCATAGTGCAGATAAGTGACAGTATTAGTCAGAGATTATACTGAAGTCTTCTCATAGAGAGAAGACAAAGAAATCACAGAACTCTGTGAACTCAACTCAGTAGTATTCTAAGCAGAGCTTGAATATGCTGCAGAAGAAGAACTACAGATTGAGTTTCTCAAAGTCACTGTTTCTGAAATCAAGCTCTTTTCAGATTTCTCTCTGAATAATTACACAGAGTTATACATCACTGTGTTAACTAAGAGAGAGAGTAGTATTACAACAGTGATGAGAAGAGTAGAGAAAGAACTGAACATAAATGAACTGATTAGCAGAAGAGATGATATCTTACTACAAGACACAGTAACTATCATCACAGCTGTAAGAGAAGTAGAAGAAGAAGAAGAAGATGTGATAATAAAAGCAGTACTTCTGCAGTCTGTTAACATCACTGTCTCTGTCTTCAACTAAGCTTTCTTAACAGTCATGAAGATCACAGCTGTATTATAAAGATATTTACTCACTAGAAAATATCAGAATAAGTTCTTTATTATTCTTCAAGAATGATACTCTCATGCACTCACTGTTACAATTGAGAGAGAGAGGAAGAAAAATGTGTTATAAAAGAGAAGAATCTTTTCAAAAAATTCTACTACTACTATTAACTTTGTCTCTAAAACTAGACTAATCATGTGACTGTGTCTGAGATCAGAATCAGATTTTTTAATAGTCTTATTATCAATTTAACTGATCTCATTACACAGTTTTAACATTAGATAGTAGTCTTATACTGTCTCAGTGAAACTTACTGTCTACTCTTATCACATTTTTTAAATGAGATTATGATTTTCACTTCTTAATTTAAATTATTTTTATTGCTTTAAATGACTTTAAATCTTATTTAAGTGTTATCAAAAAGTGTTACTTTTTAAAAAATTAAAAATAGTCTAAAAAAACCTTAAAATGTCTAAAAATAGTAACTTTATATCAAGAATAAGACTAAATAAGATCAAATAAGATCACTTTCTCATTTTTTTCAAGTTATGATTTCATTTTAAAATCTCATATATAGTCACTTTGCATGTTTTTTTAATGACTAGTCTCAGCAGAATTCATGCTAAGAAATGTATAAGATCAGATCAAATGAAATTGAATATGAAATTCATAATTCTAGCAGTCAGTCTATTTAAAACACATTACTTTTACAGAAAATTTCATATATAGAATGAAATATAATGAGATATCTGCAAGTCACTTATTAACTACATTTTTCACATTTTAAATCAATATATAAGAAACTTACTTATCATGTATTTAATTTAAATGAAGATGAGAAAAGAAAGATCTATGCAGTTAGTAGAAGAACTTATCTATTTCTTTATATTATACACAGTACATGTGCTGTTAATTAGTTAACAACTGTTACTATATAATAAAGATAACTCTTAATTCAGTAATTTTAAGAGTATCAGAACTATACTCTTAAAAAGAAGAGTATTATTATACTCTCAGCTATATTAAGACTCTGCTGTGATTTTATATAACTTATTACTTTCATATAGATAATTTCATTCTATCTAAACTAGTTTTCAATCACTCTATAATATTATTCAGATATATTATAGAAAGATCTGATTAATAAATATAAGAACTCTGCTTTTATATAAGATTAGCAGATTACTCTTTCTTAATAGTGAGATATTATTATTATTATTATTATTCTTCTATTATACTCATATGCAAGCGAAGCTTATGATAAGTCCTTGCGTGATGTTAAATACAGGTCAAGTGTTGATTATACAGGAGGAAATACAGGTGTTGAGATCATATCAAGATAACAAGAACATAGGAAAATACAAAGAAGTGACAATTAGATACATGCAATAATAACTTCCCAGCTCAGGAACATAGAGCAATTCATTGAAGCAATTTGTACACCTCTGTATTTATTAGAAACCTGAGGTGCTTGAGTTCTGGATTTAATATATCCTCTGCGGGTTTCGAACCCACGCGTCTTGATTTCCCACGCCAAGACGCTACCGGGTGGCCGCATTAACCATTTGGCCACTGAGGCTTAATAGTGAGATATTACTGAGATATCACTCTGACTATTCTTATATATAGAATGAGAGAAGAGTATTCACTTATTATCTATATAGAATAGCTAGATACTGACTTTTTATTAAAGAAATCAGTAATTTATTTTTCTTCTACTGAAATATATATGAGAGTTACTATGTTTCTTATATAATCTTATTAGTATACTAAGTATTATATCTATAATATTCTTATAATAACTCTGTAGTCTACAAGCTCACTATTTAAGTAAGATAGTTAAACTTACTTATACAGCTTTTTAAATAACTATCTTTATATAATACTACTAACTAGTCATTACTTCAGTTCTGTTATATTACACAGAATTTAAAATCAGTTTAAGATTTATTTAATTATTATAAATCTGACTATTTCTCAGTCTTTTTAAAGCTGTTTAATTATTAGAAAATATTTATATTTCTTTTAAACTAGTTTATCTTTTATAAGATTTTATTTTAATAAGTTTGAAAGCTTTTACTATTATAAATAATTCATTATTAAAAACTTCAGATTCATCTTTTAAATTTTATAAATCTTAGATAAAATTAATATTATCTTTAGTATAAGTAATACCTGTATCTAGACTGTTTTTTCTATAAATCTATGAGATTTTTGCAGTAAGTAAAGCTTACTTTTTTTTTTTTTTTTAATATTTGAACATCTCTATAATACTGTGATAATATATATTAATTGATTTCATATTTTTTAGCAGTCTCAGTGTAATTAGAGATTAATTGTATGTTTAAATCATTAATTGCTGCTTGTATAATTGTTTCATGATGCATGTTGTGAGTGTTGTAGAATAGTTGAAGATTGTATTGATAGATCTATCTACAGGAACATAATATAGTGGTGGGTCACGTGATCTAGTGGGATCGCTAACCGCAACAGCCGTAAGGGCCAACACCCCCTCTCAAGATAACAAGAATCACATACAAAAACACTCAAATCATCAAGATAGTCTGTCAAAATCAAATACAAATGTAAAATTAAACATTCTCAACTTTTACACCTGTAAGGCCTAGCAAAACCATGAATCGCGCAAATGTCACATTATCTAGAGGTTTAGTGAGTTCATTCACTGCTATCTGAGTGATGAGAATGTATTCTAAATCAATGACCCTCTGATTCAACTATTAACATGAAAAATGAAAATGTGTATCAATGTGCTTACTTCAGGCTGTAATGACTGCCATCTTTGTAAGATCTATGACACTCTTATTATCAGTGAGAATCTGTATCAGAGATGTAGTGATGAAGCCAAGCTCAATTATGAGGTTTTAAATCCATGTTGCCTCGCGGACCACCTCACTAAGAGCCACATATTCAGCCTCATTGAAACTTAGAGATATACAAGGTTGCTTCACTGAATGTCATGAAATTGAGCCATCTGTGAGCTTAAAAATGTAGCCAGATGTTGATTTCCTATCACCATTCAAGAGGCCGGCTCAATCAGAATCCGAGTAGCTGAAGGGTAGGTAGGAATCATCAGGGAAATCAGGGATAATGAAAGAATCAGTAGGAACAGAAAAATCAGTAGAAATGAACCCCTCATACAGGCCATGTCTGTAGAAAATACCCAGATTCATGATCTCTTTCAAATAACATATAACATGTAATAGAGCCTTTCAACATTGAGGTGTTGAATCAATGTTCTGTTGAGTGAGTAGTGAGGCAGTGTGAGTGATATCAGAATGTGTTTTAACTGTGAGATATTGCAAGCAATTCACACCATGTTGATATCACTGAATTGTGAAATCAGCCTCTTTCTCAGATATAGGGAAATCATCAATGCAGAATCCATTCTTCATTGATATTCTGGTAACAGCTGCATCATCAAGGTAGAAATCTTCAATAAGGCATTTGATATATTGACAATGTGTTAAATCAATTCTCTTGTCTGAACAATTGATCTTCATACTCAAATACTTGATTGGCTGGTGTAGATCCTTGACTTCCAATTTCTCACTGAGCATACTCACTAGCCAATTGGCATTCTCAGGAGCTTCAGATATGATGTTGAGATCATCAATGTAGATCATCATATAGAGGTGATGTCTGAATGTATGATATCAGAGTGCCGGATCATGGGCGCTGACTGTAAATCCGAGATCACTCAACAGAGCTGTTAAGTAATCATACCAGATCTTCACCGCAGGGTCCAGGCTGTATAGACTACTCTCAACCGCGCAGACAAGTGTTTTTGGCAAACCTGCCTCAAATTCAGTGAGTTGCCTCATATAGACCTTCTTAGTGAGGCGCCCATGAAGATATGCCATCACTATATCCACTTGATGGAGTGTTCAACCGCGTAGTGCTGCTATTGCAAAAAGAATATGATTGGCAGTATCAGTGATGACAGGAGTGTAGGTCTCTTCTCTAGAACCCTTCTTAAGCCAGTTACCACAAATCTGTTGAGGGTCCCGCGGTTGGTCGGCCCTTCTACCAGCAGTGCGCTGGTGGTGATTGAGCTCTTTTGCCCCAGTAGCCTACAGGTTATAGCCCGGATGGCACGTTTTTCTTTTTAGAATGTTGTACCAACATATTTTTGACATGGATAGTTCACCTTTTTTGGAAAGACTCTCACTCTTTATTAGAGATATTTCATTTTCCCTGAATCTGCCAGTCAGCAGATTCATATACTTTATTTTTTTTTGAGAAAGCATGTTCTTCATTGTGAAGAATATCACTTTTTATCTTTTTTTTTTTACACATCTAGGAGAAGCAGAGTCACCTCAATATGAGTGATACACCTGTTACTTCAGAGTCCAGCTCAAGGCCCAGGATCACACACTCCACTAGACAACTCATTGATAGAATGATCACTCATTATGAGAAAGCTCCTGACTTGCAAGATGAGGCTGAGATCAGTTTTCATCAGAGTATGGAATTTGATGATGAGACAACAGAGAAACTTCAGGACAAAGGAAAGCAGAGTCAATCTCAACATTCATCTGCAGAATCTGTTCATTTCAACTCATCAAATCCTTCACCATCTCTCATCTCTGAAATGCTGACTTTTAATGATGATCTGAATCAACCTATCTATTGCACCGCAGGCAATCTTATGAATCTTATACAGATGATGCTACAGAACCAGATGGCTGCAGCTGAAATCACTCAACATCTCACTACATCTACACAAAGAGACATCATGAGGGATGAGTTGTGGGAATACCAGAAGGAAGTCAAATATGCACTAGACATCAAATCAGTGATCACATTTGATGGCTCTAATTATGAAGCCTGGTGTGTTGATATGTTAACTGATATGAAAGTTATTGATGAAACTGACATTCTATTAAGAACTTAATAAGAATCCCCTTTTACACATTATATCAACTCTGAGAAGTGAAGGATTCATTCTAAGTCTCTATATAGGTGTATGCTATCAAGTCTTGTTGGAAACATTCAAACTACTATTGAAACCTTGAAAGCTGACAATGCTGCGGCCCTGTGAGACAAGATCAATGTGGAATATGTGATATCACTGATAGAGGAACAAGTTAATGTCTTCAAGAAATTGACAAAATTACAAGTCAAGGAGAATGATTATCTTACTTTTCAGAGATGTTTTCACTATCTTGTTACTCATCACAAGAAGCTCTGTCAGAGCACTGAGAATATATATCATGATCTCTTTCTCAATAATCTACAAGATTATCAAAGATCATTTGTTAAGACATATTTGAATGAGTTTTTCTTCACTGGCCAGGGACTCATTATCAACATTGATATTGATAATTTGATGAAGCAACTGATCAATCATACATTTAAGAAGATTATCACTGAGTGAAAAAAGCAGCCTCAGACTGATTCTGTGACTGCAAAAAAGAACAAGGACAAAGATAAGAATAAAGATGAGGATAAAAGCACACCTGTATGAAAGTGCACTCACTGCAGAAGATATGAATATACTGTTAACAGGTGTTTCATCTTACACCCTAATAAAAAGAACAAGAAGAATGACAAGAAGAAAGAGAAGAAGAATGACTTGATAAGTTCTCAATCAGCAGTAAATGCAGCAATTATGAAGATTGAGTTCTATTTCTCTTTCACAGTCACTGGAAAACCATTCTCTAGATCTTGATATTTGAACACATGTGCAAGCCTGAATATGACAGATGAGCTTCATTCTTTTTCAAATATCAAATCTTTTAATGATAATATCTCTGTTGATTCTGCAACTGAGAGAACTGAGTTTATCAAGAAGATTGAAACTGTCATCTTAAAGATTGAGAGTGATGATATTAACTTGCAGAATGTTCACTATATTTCTAATATTACAGTTAATCTGCTCTCATTTATAAAGCTTGAAGATCAGGGATTCTGATTTACATTATCTTTCACTATTTCCTCATTTTTCATTTGCAGAGCTCTGAATGATGTTATTTTTCATGCAGTTCAGATCACTCAGAACAACATATATAAGATTAATAAGTGAGAGTTCAATGAGAATCTCAATCATCTGAACAGAGCAGTCAAGTACATTGCAATGATGTCTCATGAGTATGATTTTGATTGAAAAGTTGATCTTTCTGTGACTGCTGCTACTACTGTTAATAACATTGATTCTACAGTTCTGAATACAGGCCTCAAGAATACAAGAATATCAAAGACTCTTTTGAACTAACACTGTGATCTCAGTCACATTCACACTGATGCTATAATTACTATGGTCAAGGATTCTCATACTGAAGTCATAATTAAAGATTCTAAGACTAAGTTCTTTTGTGAGAAATGTGTCAAGACTGATATAATGTGAGATTATTTGAAAACACTGATGTCTAGATCTATTCAACTCATTGAGAAGGTTTATATTGACCTTGTAGATGATGAATATACATTGAAAGATCTCTCTGATCACCTCTTAGAGTTCTGTCAGAGAATAAAATACTGAATGCTTATCATCTGTGACATGACTCACTACTGTTGAGTGTATTTTTTAAAGTTCAAGAATGAGGCTGTTCAATACTTTGAGTTGTGGCTCAGATTCATGAGTAATCTTGAGTATACAGCTTCTGCTTTTCTACAGACTGATATTGATGATGTTTTTCAATTCACATGTATGCACACAGTTATGAATTCATATGATATCAAATGAGAATCAACAGCATCACATTCACCACATCAGAATGATGTTTCTGAACATGAGATCTGTACTATCATGGAACAGGTTAGAGCTGCTCTTTTGAAAGGTAATCTCTCTAAGAAGTTCTAGACAGATGTTCTAGAGATAGTGATTACAATAATTAATAATACTCTCACATCTACAGTTCTTTACAACTCAAAATTTTGGCCCTCTACTGCAGAGATCTCTGTGATTCCAAGTTCACATAAGATTTCTTGATATGCACTTATGAATATCCCACTGAATGTAAGGCATTTTCACTGATTGAGTGCAGAGGTTTTTATTCATTTGCATGAATCTCAGTGGCCCACAGATAAGCTTTCTCCATGTGCCGATTTCTATTGTATCATTGGATTCAGTGACACATCAATATATCGCCTATGGCATCCTGAATCTGACAAGATTATTGCCAGTAGTGATGTGAGGTTCCTGATTACTGAAAAACCGGTCATTACATCTGTGGAACCCATCAATCATATTGTTGAACTGGTTGTTACATCTGTGGCACTCACTAATAATGTCAGTGTACTGGAACCTGATATTCATCTGGTTGATGATGATGAGGACACTCCCGATATTGATGATCCGAATTCCACATGGTTACAGCCCGCGAAATCACTGGCTACTTACACTCTGAGCCTCATTACAGGTAACCTCCCGAAGTCCTACAAGGATGCCACATCTCGGCCAGGGGGGGTAGAAGATTATTGGAAGAAGTCCATGCAACGCGAGATTACCGACCTGGAGAGACGCAATACATGGAGTTTGATCCCTAGATCTGATGTCCCGAGGGGTGAACCGATTGCTCCGGGCCGTTGGGTGTTCCTTGAGAAAGATAGGCCCGCGGACCCGAATGCCGATCCTGATGGTATTCTTAGGAAATCGCGTTGGGTGATTTTGTAGGCTACTGGGGCAAAAGAGCTCAATCACCACCAGCGCACTGCTGGTAGAAGGGCCGACCAACCGCGGGACCCCCAACACCCCCCCTCGGACCAGCTACCACAGAGTACAATACTTCCCCTCAGTGGCTCCCTTCAGTGGCCTCCCCACAATGGCTCCTTTTAATAATGGACTCAGTCAGTCCTAGGGCTCACGGGACTTCTAGGGCACACTCCTGGGATGTCTCTTGGCACTGTTAAAATGTCCAAGGGTATTTGTTAGGAATTTTTAAGTCCATTCTGGGATCGAACCCATGCATGTTGACCACAGCGGGGCTCACGCTCAACGGTCTCATAACCTGTAGGATAGTTGAAGGTTGTATTGATAGATCTATCTACAGGAACATAATATAGTGGTGGGTCACGTGATCTAGTGGGATCGCTAACCGCAACGGCCGTAAGGGCCAACAAGTGTTTGAAGATGGATGACAAATGGAAGATTGAGCGGGCGTTGGTGCCGTTGGGTGGTTGATCATGTTAAGGCCCTGGTTGCATCACGATGAAAAACAGGACAAGCGTCGGGTGTTGCCATAGACAACCGATGTTTATCCGAAGGAACAACTTCCCCACTCCAATTTCTCGAGCGCTGACGGACCATGGTTTGAAACTCGCGCGATTTGCAACGGATATCTAAGTTATTTAATGTTTTATTATTAATCCCCCAGGTGTCTTTACCCACTCAGACTGCCCTTTGTTGACCGAATTGCGGGCCCTCTCTGCCAGTGCTGGACCGCAGATTACGGTGGGATCGCAGTTGCCGTCCCGTAAGTCATTCAAAAATAACTGTGAGCCAGCTTGCAAACGAAAGGAGAGAGCTCCGTCCGCGGCTTCAAGGGTGTTTTAACGTTCCCGAGGGTAAACAATGAGATATGGCCGATGAAGGAGCTTTGGCCAATGGCTACCAGATGCTCGAGGAGCTCGGGAGTGAGTTAAGTCCAGAATACAACCGCCATTTAATGCGTTTTGGAATCCTAATGTTTCTTCTGTTTTCCCCCAGGTGGAAGTTTTGGAACGGTATACAAAGCCATCGAAAAGGACACTGGAGAAATTGTGGCGATAAAGCATGTATGATCCCCCGTGGAGTTGACAGCATGTCGAATTTAATGTCTGATGGATGGTTTCTAATGCACTTTTGTTTGGACCTTAGATTGATCTCGAATCTAGCGAAGATGATATCCAGGAAATCCAACAGGAGATTGCGGTGCTGGCAACCTGCGCAAGCCCTTACGTCACACAGTACAGGACAAGCTTTCTTAAGGGCTACAAATTATGGATTGTGATGGAGTACTTGGGTGGTGGATCTTGTTTGGATCTGGTAATATGCGCCCTGCGATTTCGCGCCAAAAGTCTTTTACGAGAGGTTAACACTTGCACCACAGCTTAAACCTGGAGTGTTTAATGAAGCGCATATTGCAATTATCTGCCATCAACTGTTACTGGGCCTGGATTACCTACATCAAGAGGGGAAAATACATCGAGATGTCAAAGCTGCCAATGTCCTTCTCTCACAAACTGGAAAGGTTAAACTGGCAGATTTTGGTGTTGCAGCCCAACTCACAAATATTAAATCGCAACGCAATACCTTTGTCGGTACACCATTTTGGATGGCTCCAGAAGTTATCCAACAGGCGGGATACGATTTCAAAGCGGATATTTGGTCATTGGGTATTACCGCAATGGAGATGGCTAACGGGGAGCCACCAAACGCTAGCACGCACCCAATGAAGGTTCTTTTCTTAATTCCGAAGGCGCCAGCTCCAAGGCTAGAAGGCAGCAACTACAGCCAAAATTTCAAGGATTTCATCGCTCAATGCCTTATGAAGGACCCAGATCGGCGAGCAACGGCTAAAGAACTATTACGGCACAAGTTTATCCGGAGTGCTGGTAAAACTGAGGCATTGCAGGAGCTAATTCAACGCAGGCAAGAGTGGGAGGCAAGCAAAGGCTTGTCAGATAGTGTAAAATATTATGAGGAATCTATGTACGGACTCTATCTGGACATTGAAAATTTTGAAAGAGAAGTTGCTAATTGGGATATAGGGCGACGATTGATCACAAGGAAGATGAAGATGGGTGGGTGTTCGATACATTGAAACCTAGTACCGTAGCTATTTCGAACAACACACAAAAAAGAATGAAGATATCCGGACCACCAATAGAAGAGATCGATTCGGAGGAGGAACCCTTGGAGATGCTAAAAAGGATGGAACTTACAGACGTGTCAAACCTGCCGAATTCAAATAAGCCGGTGGCCAATTCCACCGTCAGGCGTTCCGCACTGTCAACAGAACGATCTCCGTCCGTGAAACGACCGAATACCAAAAGGAAATCAAGTGGGGTAAAACGACCACTTGGGTTAAACCTCAGCTTTGGAAATAGCCCGTCAACAGTTAGACAATTCCGTCGCGTATCCGACAAACAGATAGAAATGCCGAACGAGTCCACGGGGTATCCTCCTGGAATGGACGAGAACTGCGCACCTAAGACGTTATTTTCGGAAGCAAACAGCAAAGAGGCTATACTTGGCCGGAGAGTATATAATAAATCTATTGGACTTTCCTGCCAGGAGGTGCTTTCGACGACGTGGGATCAGGAAAAGCGAGAGGCCATATCTCGACTCGCGGAAGCTTGGAGTGACCTGGAAATGATTGACCCAGAGGGTCTTTACCATATTATGAAGTCGACTTGCGACAAATTGCAAGCGTGAGTTTTATTATAAGTCCCGTCTGAACTTACTTGCCCTTTTACTAACTTATCATTTCTATTCTTTTCTCTCTAGCGACCCCAAACTTTCCACTATGCTCCCCAAGCAGACTGCCGCGGAGCCTCCAGCAAAGCCAAAGCTCGTTCTTGCTCAGAACAACCCACATCTCAAGAGCCATCGGCGGCGACAATCCGAGCAGATATATTCCGACGATCATTGGCAAGGAGCAGGCCTAAATCTACCAGGACAGCAAGTTCTTGGAATGGAACATACCAAGCAACTTGCGGATGTCCTTTATGATCGATGGACAGCAGGACTTCGCAACCGATGGCGAGCTGTATAATGTTCATTTGATTTGTGTATGATGTGTAGAGGGTTGGTTTATCTTTTTGGTGTAATTGGTTTTTCCCTCCCAGTTCCCTCCAGCATACCGGTTGCTAGAAAATAGAGGGTCTATAATTTGGTAGACAGTATTGTTTTGGTGCGTGTAATATGCCTTCTTTTCTACTTGATCTACTTTTGACTTTTTCACTTTTATTTCTGGCTTTTGTACCACTGTCCCGTGTTTTTCCTTGAAAAGAAGAGGCAAATTTTCCGGCGCCAATCTTTCTGTTGTTCATACGACATTTCATCAGTTCATATTTGTTCCTCCTCCCTTTTTCACTTCAGTCATAATGCAAGCGCGCGGGAAGCCCAACGCATGGAACCAGCGAATGGGCGCTCGTGCGTATTATTTTCTCCTTCTTCGTCTTTTCCTACTTGATCTATGTATGGATGAGAAGGAGTGGCGCCTGATTTGAATGATCCATGTATAATAGATATTTAACGAAGCTGCTTCCTAGGAGCTTTGTTCAAGTTGTGTTTACGTAGATTAGAATATATTGTGAAATCCAAACAACTATACCATAGCTAACTATATAGAGTGTGTGTTAAGCGCGGCAGAGAGTCGAAAGGTAAAATAAAGGTGGGCAACGAGATGTAGTATTTTGAGATGCGCATCCAGCAGGCCAACCCAGCATAATTAACAATTTGTTCAATGAATGTTCCTGTGTGTCAAGGTAACAATGATCATTGTTGCACCTCATCGAACGAAGCATATGAAGGCTATTCCTGCGAATGGTCCTCGGCTCTCATTCTTTTGCTATCACCCCTTCACCTTAAATTGAAGGGGAATTCGCTGTCTGCTTCTCGCCGAGTTAAGATGTCTCGAATTGCAGTTTTCAAAGTTTTCGATTCCAGCTTGGGGTAAAGGCAGCACAGTGGGATGCGATCGTTCATGTTCACCAAGATAAGAAGAGAGGTGCGGGAGGGTTGTCGATATCGTACATCTGCCTCCATAAATGGGCCATCTCCAGCAAGTCTCCGAAATCTTCTCTGCGACGGTCCACGTCTGCCAGAGATAGTTTAGATATAATAATTTATAGTGGTACTTAAGTTAAATAAATATTTTATACTATTATAATAAGTATAATTGATGTGTATCTATATAATAAATACAAGCATCAAATGCTCGCTTACGCTCGCTTTTCTGCTTGCGCAGCCCCCTCTACCACTTCCACCCTCCCCCCCAACCACTCCCTACCCCCCCTTTACCACCCCTTCCACCCCTTACCCTCTACCCCCTCTACCACCACCACCACCTCTACCACCCCTACCACCCCTACCACCCCTACCACCCCTACCACCCCCACCACCTCTACCACCCCTACCACCCGAA